TGTACCCGGGATTGAATCCAGGGGCCATATCCCCAGCTCTTTTTTATATTTTGAGACAGGATCTCGCTGAGTTGCTCAGGACCTCGCTAACTTGCTGAAGCTGGCTTTGAATTCACAATCCTTCTGTCTCTGCCTCCCAAGTCTCTGGGGTTACAGGGGTATGGCACCACACTCAGCATATTCCCAGACCTTTAAAACAACACCTCTGGGGATGGAGTTCTGAGATCTGAACATTTTAAAAAGCACCTCTCTGATGCCGGTGAGCACACTGAAGTCCAATAACAGGAAGATAAATGACAGTGACTTTGGGTGATAGGGTTCAGGATTTGGTCTGATTAAAAGAAGGTATTTTTGGTTATTTTCTCTTAACCTTCTGAATTCTGGGTCAAATGTGAATAAAAGAAAAAAGTTTGGGAGGGTGACCTGGGTTCGGATTGGGGGTTGGATGGGGTTTTGCATCCTATCCCCAAGGTGCTAGCTAAGATCCAACCAGATATGGCAAACAGACCTCTGCTTATCTGAGGCTGCTCACTATTGCATAAGAGCCCTGATTATAGGAACTTTGGTTTTGTTTTCAATTAACTTAGGAATAAAAACAGTGTCACTCTCGAAAATTTGTTAAAATCAGAATTGCACCCTTGCTTGGAAAGTTAAGAAAATATCTACCCCAGGTGGGGAAATAGAGGATCCAATATGATATCTTGGATTCCAAGACATTCTATTTCATGTTCACATCAAAACCATATAAAACAAAAATGAGGCTTTGGTTTGGGAGGTGGTTTTCTTGACTTGAATCTGCTCTATGGTTAGAATTTGTTGGATTTATTATATTAAAATGCAGTTACAGGAATATTCAGAACTTTACGGCTCAAATATGACTGGTACTAGATTGAGTGAATCATTTAGGTAATTGCCTCAAATTTTCACATCATGTCCTTATGCAGAACCTGAGTGTTCAAAGACAACCTGATCCTGCTTCTTTTTTGGTAGACAAGCAAGCTGGGAGTGAGAGTGTGAGGGGAAGAGGGGTACGGAGAAGACTGGAAGAAGTTCTATTTCAAACTCTGGAAATGAATGGGTTTTGATGGTGTGTTCTGATTAGAATGAATCCCACTCAGTGAGATCACCAGCAGTCAATTCCTTCTAGGCTCTACACAGAGAAAACAAGTCCTAAAAAAAAGAAAACAGTTGGAGGAATTCCAGAAACT